TCTTGATAACGTGTCTGGGACGACTAGGTTTTTCCCAGGAGCATACTCTGCTGTGACTTGAAATCTTCTCAAGCGCATCAACAGTCTTTGACATCGGAGTGGCACGTTGTTGAGATCATACGAGTTGATGAGTGGAACGAGAGGTTTGTGATCTGCTTGCAGTTTGAATCCATCCAAACCTATCAGGTAGCGATTGAATTTCTCCCACGCCCATACACCAGCTACAGTCTCCTTTTCGATCTGCGCATAACGGCACTCCGAACCCGTTAGCGTTCTTGAAAAGAAAGCCACTGGCCTCCATGTGATTCCACCATGCAGCTGTAGCAAGGCACCTCCTTGACTGTAGCTGCTTGCGTCCGCACTCACCATGGTTGGCAACTTGGGATCATAGAATGCCAGTACCGGTGCACTGTTTACCATGGCTCTTACTTTGGAGAAAGCCGACTCTTGATCTAGGCCCCAATACCACATAGTATCGGCATGTAGTAGATCAGTCATTGATTTCGTGACAGTGGAGATATCCGGCAAAAATTTCCCCAAATAGTTCATCAGTGCCAAGATGCGTCTAAGTTCCTAAATATCCTTCGGAGATTCTAATTCAAGAATGGCACCCACCTTGCTTGATTCCAGACTGATTCCATCTTTGCATATTCTGTGTCCGAAATATACAATTTCTGATTTCCGGTACTTGCACTCGTCTTTGTTCAGCTTAAGTCCCGCTTTCTGTATGGCGTTAATTGTGTCGTTAAGTCTTTTTTCATGTTCAGCATTTCACGAACCGTGAATGAGTACTTCATACATTATGACTTCTGTACCGGGTAGACCGTACAAGAGATCTGTCATGTTGAGCTGAAATATCTCTGGAGTTGAGGTCACTCCAAATGGCATTCTCTTGAAACAATAACGTCCAAAAGGGGTCATGAATGTAGTACGTTTCTGGCTATCTTCATGTAGAGGAATCTGATAATAACCACTAGAGGCATCCAGGGTTGTGTATATCTTGGATCCACATAGCTTTGAAGCAATATCTTCCAATGTTGGCATCATGTAGTGTTCTCTTTCTACACCTTCATTTAGCTTCTTCAGGTCAACACAAATCCTTACTTTTCCTGATTTCTTGATTACAGGTACCATTGGTGCACACCACTCTGTTGGCTCGGTTATTTCTTTTATGATACCGGCATCCTTCATACGTGTCAAATCTTCTTTCACTTTGTCTAACAAAGAAAATGGTACTCTTCGTGACGTTGCAATACTGAAGGGAACTGCCTCAGGTTTCAGTTTTATCATCACTGGTTCACAATTCACAAGTTCGAAAGGACCAATACACTTGACTGTACTTTGTTTATCTCTGTGCTGATTTCATGAATGTTCGGCTTCACCAAACCCATCTTGTATGAAACATTCCTACTCAGCAGATTGTTATGTCCGTCTGTGACATAAACGTTGAACTTGTATAATTCACCATGATATTTCACCTGTGCAGGAAACAATCCTGAGCACCCTATTATGTGTGAATGTTCTGAAAGTTCACGATCTGGTGATAATAACTTTGGTTTGTTGAAAAGTTTGTCATAAGTTTCTCCTGAAATCACCGAGGTGTCTGCACCGGTGTCAACTTTGAATTCAACAGGTGTGTCTTGAACATACAATGTAACCATCCATGCATCATTATCATCTTCACAGCTGACAGATCCAATATCGAATCCACTTCCCTAATCATCGGACAAAACGTCTGTCTCTACACTGTGAACATTTTGTTGTCTATTGCTTGTACACATCTTGGCATAATGTCCTTTCTTGTTACATACAGGACATGTCTGACCACTAGCGCGATAACCTTCCTGAATGAAGATTACCACAAAGTGAACAGGGCTTATTCAGACCGTATGATTGATGATTCCTTTGGTTTCCATGGTTACCATTACTTCCATGATGAAAACCTCGTGGGAGACCAAATCTTCTACCTCTATGGGCATTAAAGTTCATATTTCTGGAATTTCTACTCCTTATCTCTTCTTAAGTCTGAAAATTGTCTTGATTCTTAATTTTAGACCTGACTAGTTCCGTTTCCCTGGCTATCTGTATAGTCTGATCCAATGTTAATCCAGGAATTAATTGCATCCGTTCTGAAACTTGTCTGTCAGAAATTCCAATGACAATCCTGTCACGAATACTTTCATCACGCATATTCCCAAATTCACAGTACTCTGCAAGTTCATACAACGAGCGTATAAACGCTTCCACACGATTCACCCGTTCGTTGATTGAGTTGGTGAAACTTGGTTCTCTCGTGAATCACATTCCGTTTTGGAACAAAATGTTCATCGTATTTCTGAATCACTTTGTCAAATTTCCCCTCATCACCTTCGTCAAATGTAAAAGAGTTCATAATGTGTTCCCCTTCCTTTCCCATTGCGTAAATGAGTGAGCTTTTCTGAACATCTGACTGTTTATCCACCTTTTGTCGCGGAACGAAATCTCATGAACCGTTGCCGCCATTGGGGCCATTGGAGAAATCTGGAGACGAAAAACGTGCCATCTTTCTTAATTACGTCTTCAGTACTTTACTTCTGACACCATGACATAGAATACGGGAACTCGTGACCTTGATATTGAGGATTTAGTACTGATTCGGTAACTCAACAACATGTCATACAAGTTCGTCCTGCGCGGTTTCCCGCGGCGTCTGCTAGCCAGTTACATTCGCTCTGCGCATGCCCGATAAGGGAGCATTAATTGAGAGTGGAGTAATCCTTGTTTCAATATGATACTGTGACAAGTAATAGAATACAGATCACACGGATAAGATACGAATGGGCTCTTCTAACAGATCCTCACTGTCTGGGGTATATGGTGACTGTCTCTACAGTTTTGGTAATGAACCTTCCAGGCGTGGGCAACAGAGTGTAGTTGAAGTCTAGTCTAGTCCCTGCTATTTATTACTGCAAGGGGTGATGGGAAATCATACTTTGATTGGAATGATAAAGTGACATTATTAGTGGTGTTAAAGTAAGGGGCGGTGGGGTAGCCTAATGGTTAAAGCGTTGGCTCGTCACGCCGAAGGCCCGGGTTCGAATCCCCACATGGGTACAATGTGTGAAGCCCATTTCTGGTGTCCCCCGCCGTGATGTCGCTGGAATATTGCTAAAAGCGGCGTAAAACCAAACTCAGTCAGTCAGTCAGTCAGTCAGTCAGTGTTAAAGTAAGTTGAAAACGATTTTTGTCTTGCTTAACATAATGGTGCAGGCAAGTGAGTGGATCGGCCCACCAAACCTGTTCCAGGAATTTCAGTTCACGACTCCACTTACATGTATTACTGACTGGATTTTAAACCCCAAATACAACACAAGTCCAGTCTTTAATTCGCTGTCTCAGAAAAGTGTATTGAAACAAAGTACAGTGTCGCATGAACTCTTTTAAAAAGATAAAGAACTTGGACCCATGTATAAATATTCTAGGGCGAAACTAATATTTTATTACAATACATACAGGGGAGAGCCAATAATATTTCTTAAATATGATACCATATCACACTGTTCCGGTATCTTATGTACCAAACTATGACGCCCCGTTGTCTTGTCCAAAACGTATTTTGAAAATGGAATGCTAAAAGGGTATGTACGCCCTCTGATTTTATGGTCTCAGTTTGAACAAAGTTGGGAATACCGTTTGTTAGTATAATTATAACTCTTTTCGAATTATTTACGTTGGGTTTGGTGGGTTTTTTTTCGGTTTTCTTTTTCATTTTTGAGAGAAACACCAAGACTAGGTGTGTCAGTTTAGTTTGAATATATAAGAGCAGACATACACGGATTAGCCCGTATGTCAATCATTCACACACATAAAATATGTCAGATTTTCAACGAACTCTCCCTTATATTTTCTCGTTTAGTCGTTGTTCAGTTGAGATAAACTAAACTGTACATTGTCTCTAATTTAGGGTTAATTCTTTAATGGACGTCCTACTTGTCTCTTAATAAATTTAAAGACACACCCAAAACCTGTTACTGGGTTCGAATCCCCGTTCGCCTTGATTTTGTCTCTAGCTATATGTGTGTCTGCACCATTTTCATTTCACCAAAATTTCAAACTTTTGGAAACTATATGAATTTTGGCAACCTCTCAGTTGAGGTATATCTGGAACACTTATTGTGTTATAACTGGCATCATGGTGGGTGTGTAGATGTGTCTGTTCACATTTGGGAGCTCTGTAGAAGCACTGGCCAGTTACTCTCTGTGCTGGTAAACATTGTATATTCGCTTTTAGAGGTACTCAACCTTTGTAAATACAACTTGTACATGTTTACATTTAAATAGCGTGGATGGCATTGTCTAGTGTTTGAAGTACCTTAAAATCCATTTGCTTTGTCTTTGGCATTGCATCCTGCTGCATTACGTTTGTCTATTTTTAATAAACATGCATGTAGTCACGTCCGCTATAAAACAATTGGACCGTTTCGAACCCTCTCCTCTGTAATAGAGGCAGTAGTCGCTTAAGCGGTGTTAGTTAAGCAGCCTTCGGCAGAGACATCTTTCTGTAAAGATGCCATTAGTATTGAAAGTACTTTTGTCCATAACTTGCACAAAATCCAATCAGAAATTTAGTTTTAAATAGTATTTTGAAGAGAAGGACAATCGAAAATTCATATCGTTATGTGTGGCCGGACCTCACAATAGGAAATATGTATTTCGATGTTGTACTTGTATGTTGAATATATTTCACCCTAACAGGCATCTGACAACATATTTTAAAAACATATAATATATTACCCGGGCACGGAACTCAGATGGGTGGTTGGTGAATTAAAGGAAAGGAAGGAAAAAAGAAGGAAAGTTGAAATTACCGTAATTTATCAAATAATTTTAAAACTATATTTATTTGGTGTCTAAATATAGAGCATGCTGACGAACACTTCCTACTGTTACAGAAGCTACTGTTGTGACGGGTCTTGGTGTAGGAAAATACACAAAACACGATGCTACAAATATCGTTACAGCTTGTCCTGAGGGACGCTATGGTTCTGGCTGCATGGAGACGTGTGGACATTGTACTGGAGGAGATCAGAACTGTCACAATGTGAATGGGACTTGTAGACATGGCTGCCAGGAGTACTGGAGTGGAACATTGTGTAAAGGTTTGTATTTCTTTCCTGGGCACTCACTGTATAACTCTCTTTAAAGAGCATAAATTGTACTCATAAAAGACAAGATGCAGGAACACGTTCTAGCAAATATCTTTTATAAACATGTCCTTACTGTTTTACTGTTGGAACAAATAGCGTAGATTATATCATGATTTAGTCACAATTGTACAATCAACTCAGCTTATAGCAGAGATATCTTATGCATGTGGAAAGGGTTTTTTCGCTTCCATTATGGATGTGGAAAGAGTTTTTTTGCTTCTATTATGGATGTGGAGAGAGTTTTGTCGCTTCTGTTATGGATGTGGAGAGGGTTTTGTCGCTTCTGTTATGGATGTGGAGGGGATTTTGTCGCTTCTGTTATGGATGTGGAGAGGGTTTTGTCGCTTCTGTTATGGATGTGGAGACGGTTTGTCGCTTCTGTTATGGATGTGGAGAGGGTTTTGTCGCTTCTGTTATGGATGTGGAGAGGGGTTTTGTTACTTCTATTATGGATGTGGAGAGGGTTTTGTTACTTCTATTCCATTTGTAGCTGAGTCAGTATAGATAAAATTCTAAATTTATTATGAAACATTGATCCATTTCAAGAATACATGAAACATAAAGTAGATTATACAATAACTATATGAATAGACATTCCACTTCTTAGCAAATATCCCATAGATTTGGGCGTTTCTCAGTACATTAGCGCAATACAATGTGATTAAGAGCATGTGTCGTGTGTTCTGACAGCACGTTCTGTAGTTACTGTAGGTTAATTCAAATGTGTGCAATAACTGTTTCATCCGATAACATTTTTTTATGATTAGCTCGTGAGTGTCACTGTACAAGCGACGGATGTGATGCCGACTTCCGGTGCCCAAGTGGCTGTCTCCAGGGCTGGTCAGGCCCCACTTGTCAGAGACGTGAGTAGAACACTATGTCTGTGGTTTGATTTGAAGCTATGCTAAGATCATGTTGTGACCCGGGATTAAACATTTGCTCGTCTACTCTTATATATCATGCACATATGTACAAGGTTTCTCAGTACGATAACGGTTCAAACGGTTCCAATGAGATCATAAAGGGATGAATATTAATATTAAAACGCGAATTTTGGGGAATCAGCTCGCTTGGCAAGAGGTCTGCCAATACCAACCCACACACAACACAACACCTGAGTAAATAAACAAGGAGTTTATTACACAGCAGTCACTTAACGATTTTACATAATCAGTCAATAATAGCATAGTTTACAATTAATTAATAGAACATGTTCACAATGCAATCAGATATCAAAGTACATAAACATCACATGTAGATTCGTTATACACGACACATACTACATTAATCGCGATACATATTCCAATGTACACAACAATAGTTCACTACACTACACATCACCCCAGTGGGGGTTCATACAATCTACATTCTGCAACGGTCCCAAACAGCATAGTATTCACAACGTAATACAATAGTTAAAATATCCGACACACTCTATACATTCTATAATAGTCACAAAACAGTGTAGTGTCAATCAGTATTAAATAAACAATCCTAAACTGTAAAACAGTAGATATGAGACACATACTAAGGGATGCCTCGTTCCACATAAACCTGAAGGTACTGCCAAGGGTGGTAACTTATAGTTAATGTATTTACAATAGATTAAAGTTAACATAGAATAACAATAGTATGTCATAGGAAGTAAAGTTTCTTACCTGAGTGAATTTACTAGACAGCCTCCCCCTGATTTGTGACTGTCATCCGTAATATATATCTATTCTAGCTATCGCAAATAATCGCGTTTAAAGATAAAACTTACGATAACGTTGTTATTGTGAACGTGAGATGATGTCATTTAGTTGGACCGAAGCATTGATGGCCAGTCGCGAGTATGCCACGAAGGCATATGTGGCACGCACATGATTTGACCAACGTGGAATACAAACAGCCGTAAAGACAGATAAACGTAATGCACCTTGGTTCTGTTAGCTTTAGAGATACTTGTCCCGTATTAAGTCCGATGCTCGTTATCAATGTGACCCTTGGCAGGTTTAAGATTGAGGAACGTAGTTGGTTAGTCTGTAATATTTCCAGTTTTCAATAACGCATATCGTTATAAAATATTGGTAAAACTTTGTCTAGTTTTTCCATGGTAATAGTATCCCCCTGTTCTTTTAAAATTTCGTCTCGAAATTTCATTGAACAAAAATGACATCATACAGTACATTACGAGTGATGAGTAAACTGCGGTACGGAAACAACTGGTACCGCGGATCCATGATGGCTGACGAGAACATGTGTACAGGCATTGATAAATGGTCAAAATGATCGTAATGGTTTTAGATAAGATATACAGGAACGTACAAGTAAACATATAAATCGAATTGCCAACATCGGCTTAGCAAAATATAACAATAACAAGTTAAACGGAATTTCTGATGTGTACACACAAAACACAGGTGAGCGGCTTTCCAGCCCGTACAAACAACACACTGGACGTTTCCACCGAGCGGCAAAATCCTGCTCGCGGTTGACCATATAGTCGCAATACCTGACTGATAAGTACATATTATGACATATAGAAACAAAAACATAATGTGCGCAATGCGTCGTCGTTTGCATATAAATGTGATATATTCATGGAAACTGTAAGGTCCTTGAAGTTGGGAGTCTAGACTCGGCAAGGCTAACACATATTGTGATCTGCTCTAAACAAAGTATGGACATGAAGAGAAGGGAACCTAACCAACTTCAAAAGCCTAAACTGACATATCATGAAAAATTCATTCAAGTGAATTTGGCTCGACGATATTTCTACGAATCGTTTATATGAGCCAGGGACCCGAAGTTACTTACTTCCGCCCGTATCATAGTTAAGGGTAAACTGACAGAGGCGAAACGAAGTACATGTAGTACGATACAAACTGGGTATACAGTCTCCACTAAATAGCTCTGTGAATATGCCTAGCAATGGGTCTCCATAACATGGGCATTCTTGTATAGACGATGTTACGACAGGGAACGATATGTCATATCTTTCATAATGAGTACTTATAGATTTGATGCTTACATGTTCAAAATGGATGACATGAAAATGTAATCAGGATATCATATAGTATTGAATAGCTTATGGAAAGCTATGATCTATTTTGACGGTTATAGACCTACTAAGTATAAGGGAAAACCCTTGAAACCGGGAGTCTGGTTTGTGTGGGAAGACTCGGATCCCGCAGATAACGTTGATCTGCACTAAATGCATACATGTGTAGGGCATAGGGTGTGACCAGATCCTACGGTAGAGTAGGACCCTAGCCGATTTCAACAACTTAATCTGATAAAGATGTATGTCTGATAACATCACATAGATTACAATAAATACTCAGTATATGAAAACATGACAAATGTGAACACAAGGAAACAATGAACGGAGAACATACAACATACCTCACATGCACAAGAACGTCCTTGAGAAGTTCACGTACACAGTTCACGGTGAGAGTCAGAACCAAAGTTCACAGATATTGTGACACCCATCGGAAGAAACTTGCAGATGATTCGTGATGTATGCCTAGGTTGACTTGAACCTGAAAGTTAGTTCACTCACATGAATGTTGGGTTACCGATGATGCCCTGATTGTTGATTATCGGCTGACATCTTGATGATGACCGGGTTGTCTGGGCTTCTGCCACTGGTCATCTTCTCTGATCCATGATGACGACCGCCATGACACTGCCTTTGTCGTCCATCATGTCAACTACCGGTGCTTTACTGCGATATGGACCGTGTAGGAAGTGGGACCCCATATATAGTGACTGGAGGAGTACCTGTAGTGTTGGTACCTGGGGCATTGGTTTGTGGGGTCCTCCAGTTGCTCGTCTGTTCCGCCCGGTTCTGTGGTGGAGTCTTGGGTTGTCTGTGGAAGGGTCGTCTCGGTCCTGCGTCAGGTGTTGCCATGTTTGTGGGTTGGTGTGTCGCCATTGCCACTTTCGGTCCCCCGCCACTTATTAAGAGCGAGCTGAAGTTTCAACTCGCTCAGCAGAGGTACCAGTGGCACAACCAACCCACGCAACACCCGAGACCCGAGTGAATTTACTAGGCAGCCTTCCCCCTGATTTGTGACTGTCATCCGTAATATATATCTATTCTAGCTATCGCAAATAATCGCGTTTACAGATAAAACTTACGATAACGTTGTTATTGTGAACGTGAGATTATGTCATTTAGTTGGACCGAAGCATTGATGGCCAGTCGCGAGTATGCCACGAAGGTATATGTGGCACGCACGTGATTTGACCAACGTGGAATAAAAACAGCCGTAAAGACAGATAAACGTAATGCACCTTGGTTCTGTTAGCTTTAGAGATACTGGTCCCGTATTAAGTCCGATGCTCGTTATCAATGTGACCCTTGGCAGGTTTAAGATTGAGGAACGTAGTTGGTTAGTCTGTAATATTTCCAGTTTTCAATAACGCATATCGTTATAAAATATTGGTAAAACTTTGTCTAGTTTTTCCGTGTTAATATTAATATGCAAATGAAAAAAAGTCAGCTCGGTACTACCTTCAGTTTTTACGAAGAAGCATGGCATCGACCTTGTCGGAAAGACTACCGCCCGTATCCCCCCTTAACCCTAGCCTAACCCTTACCCTAACCCTAACCCTAATCCTGATAATTTAATGTCTGTATGAACAATGTCCTTTATTTTATGGCTTCTAGTCAAATCATATTACCTGAATATATACAAATCTTTTCCCTCATCGTTAAAATGTAGGGAGATACGGGCGGAACTCTTACCACCTTCTCTACTGGGGACCTAAACAAAGTCCCATAGACTTTCCCCAAACAAGTAAATGGGACAATATTGATGTGCCTACTTTAAAAATCGTCTATGCACAACAATCAGTGTGTTAACTTCACACATACAGGCTTGTAACACAGAGGACTGGCACCAAGGTACATACTGTCACTGACGGGACCTTAGCTTATCAAAGTACATGCTTTAATACCTTACAATCACCTGTGACTTCATATGAAGGCAAGGCATCCCTGGAGATGTAATTTAGCAAAGTCAAAACAGTGTTGATAGAGAATGTTCAGGTAATGATGAGCGTGTCCAGGTCGTCGGCTTCAACACCCACAAAGGCAAGCCATCTGAACAGAACAATGTCAACATTTGGTTCAACTTACAATAAGGAAAATATTTGTTTTCAGCCATTTTAGATAAATATACAAATGTCATTAATTGAGACTCAAAATCCACTTCCGAAAAATGATGAGAGTCCTGATCTGAACTCAGCAGAAGATCTTTGGGATAACCTTGGCTAAACGAAAGAGTGACCTAGAGACCCTTTAGTTCTAAACCTAAATCAGCTGACCCAATCAGTGCACCGGAAACAGCAGAGGATCGAAATGTTGGAAATATGACTTCTGACAATCATGAGGGGACGACTTAAACGCGAGAGTTGTGGACATTCCAGATACTGATTGTAGGTTGATAATACGTGCCCATCCTACATAATATGACAGTCCGTATGGTAGTGTTGGTTGGTGTTGCTGATACTATTCATGGAGGTTTTCAAACATTTGGTACCCATTCTGGGATTCATAATTTGAGTTGTGGCAGTGTCGGTCGTTCTGTTTGTCAGTTTTCGCTTTTGTCGCATTTCATTCAAGGAATCACCAGATGTTTTCCATGTAACTTGCATGGAAAAAAGTGTCTGTAAGGGAAACCACTCAATGTTTATTTCTACACCTACACGATGCCGTTCATTAAGACATAGAGGATAAGACGGTACAGTCACTAAACGAACACGAACAAAACTCTCAACCCGTTTTAATTGTGTACCCTGCTCATAGACACATACTGTAGATAGTGAACTGAATTGTTCGTTATTGTGTATGTTATTGTCTTATGAATCAATTGTACTTCATTCTCAGTCATTGTCATTTTACAATAATTATCTGTCGTAATACGACAAATTAGCTATATCAGAATAGTTAATCATGGAATAGTTGATTGACTAGTCAGAATATGATAACCTCCTAACTGAAATGATATAACAAACGTTAAATGTCTATTACCAGGAAACATAGCTCTGAACAGACCAACACAACAAAGCAGCACTGTCAATGACTGTAAGTGGGCGGACACAGCCGCCAAGAGAGGCGTGTGTGGAGACAAGACTTCCTCCCTGGCTGTGGACGGTGTGGTCAGCAGCAGCTACTGGTCAGGGACATGTACACACACGGCAACAGGCCGGACATCCGCCGGGTGGAGTGTGGATCTGGGAGAGACACACCTCATCACCAATCTGAAAATATTCTTTTCACATCCAGGCAAGTAGTACAAACACAATGTACCGTTATAACTCGTGACTGACCACTTGAGGAATGCTTTATCTGTAGGATAATTAGACACCAAAAATTAAAACTGAAGTATTATATTCCCTTTACAATATAATACAATTACAATTCCGTTTATAATATACGCCGTAAGGCAACAAACAACTTTTGTATCATGGAAACATAGTGAGAGTAGTGGTAGCAACCAGTAGGGCAGGACATATGAACACCCGTGAGCGAGGTGGATGCAACCAGAAGGGCAGGGCATATGGACACCCGTGAGCGTGGTGGGTGCAACCAGTAGGGCAGGACATATGAACACCCGTGAGCGTGGTGGGTGCAACCAGGGCAGGGGCATATGGACACCCGCGGGTTGGTGCAACCAATAGGGCAGGGGGCATATGGACACCCGTGAGCGTGGTGGGTGCAAACCAGAAGGGCAGGACATATGGAACACCCGTGAGCGTGGTGGGTGCAACCAGTAGGGCAGGACATATGAACACCCGTGAGCGTGGTGGGTGCAACCAGTAGGGCAGGACATATGAACACCCGTGAGCGTGGTGGGTGCAACCAGAAGGGCAGGACATATGAACACCCGTGAGCGTGGTGGGTGCAACCAGAGGGCATATGAACACCCGTGAGCGTGGTTGGTGCAACCAGAAGGACAGGGCATATGAACACCCGTGAGCGTGGTTGATGCAATCAGAAGGGCATACCCGTGAGAGTGGTGGGTTGCATAGGGCAGGACATGTGGACACCCGTGAATGTGGTGGGTGCAACCAGAAGGGCAGGACATGTGAACACCCGTGAATTTGGCGGGTGCAACCAGTAGGGCAGGGCATATGAATACCCGTGAGTGTGGTGAGTGCAACCAGTTGGGCAGGTTTCCAAACCATTTGCCAATTTACGCCCAAAGTAATCTGTTTGGGCGGATAACACGGTGTAGTTTTTCTCAAGCGTTGACGCATAATGTCAGTCTGTTTATTATTTCTTTCGCGCGGAACAGGTTTGAAGTTTGTTTATTGTACTGACAATTAATAATTTACTCTACAATTAATGACGGCTGAGTGCAGTTTCTGTTTTATGTATAAATTTCGAACATTTGTTCTGATTGCGCTAATGTGAATTAAATTGAACCTGAGCCCTTATTCTCGAAACGTTCGTAGCCCTAAGAATTCTTAACTTTGATCGTAGCCAATGTGTTAAGAATGGACTTAAGAAGTTCGTAGAGCTACGAACGTTTCATGAATAGCTAGCCTGATTCGTAGTTTTCTCGCAGATGGTGCAGTTGGTGCTGTCTTTATTGATGTAGTAGTACGCTCGTAAAACACCATCTCTCGCTCACTATGCATATAATACTATTATCACATGCGCCATACCTCATTTACCATCATTGATGCTATAGACGTCAATTCACGTGGTTTCCAAAGTCAAACTTACAATAGCATCCCGCATCGTTTGAACCGACCGCTTACCGTTTACCGTTTGTAAACATCTCCCTGTATGTTGTTTTATGTTTGTTTCTAGGTCGAATTCGAGGTTTCTTGGTACGGGTTGACGATCGTCCCTGCTATCAGAGCCAGACCAACAGACCCAGCTCCCCCGTCGACATCAGCTGTGACACACCCACACGTGGACAACGCGTCACTGTCCAGCTGCCAACATTGGCCGGCTCGGAGTACATTCTCAGTCTCTGTGAAGTGGAAATATATGGTAAATCATGCATGCTGATATTTTCTCACTGGATACTGCGTTTGTGGATGCCGTGATGGATACACTGGGACAGGCTGTCAGGAAGGTATTGGCAGGTTGCCCCGATTACCAACCAATAACGACTCGATATTGTAATGTGTAGTGGTAATATGTGGTAATTTATATTTCTGTCTCTATCCACTGTCGACTGCTAAGAGATCTATGTGAAATATTTATTCGATTAGGATAAATTTGACATAGTAACTTGATGACACTGAAATTGTTATTATGCTTGAATTTGTTTACTATTCACTTTAGTAAAACCAGTACCAATAAATGTTTGTTTGTTTCTTACCAGAGTGTGCTGACGGGAGTTTCGGGCCTGGCTGCAGTTCCTGGTGCTACTGTAGGAACACATCTGAGGTGTGTGACAAAACTACTGGACACTGTGAGGGTGGGTGCAAGGATGGCCGTAACGGGACTGACTGTCAGGGACGTAAGTAGATATCTCTTCAGAGTCAAATGAATGAGTATTGCACTGGAGAAAGATAGGTCTATTAAATTCCTGAAGGATTTGCTTAATACTAGATAGGTTTCCTTACGAATAGCATGGATTTGTATATTTTAAAGTGAACAAAAGAAAGGATAATTATGAATGTTTCCGTGTTGGTTGTCCCACAAGTGAAAAACGTCCTAGATGTCACAAACATATATATTTCAGGATAATCACGATTTTAACCTAAATATTTGGAAGGACATGGCAAATGTGACGGCGGTCATATTACAAGTCCATGAAACCAACTTTACGAATTTTAACTTTCGAAATACTTGATCCACTTCTTTATTTTATCCCTGAACATATCATTCGGCACGACAATATGTTGGTTGGTTGGTTTGTTGCTTAACGCCGCACACAGCAATATTCCAGCTATATGGCGGCGGTCAGTAAATAATCGAGTCTGGACCAAACGTTCCAGTGATCAACAGCATGAGCATCGATCTATGCAATTGGATACTATGACATGTCCCAGTCAGTGAGCCTGACTACCCAATCTTTCAGTTTGGGACTTGGCGATATCATGTTGGGGAAATTCTTAAAGAATGTTATTTCCAATAGATTTTGCATTACTTTCGCAGGGCTCCAGATAAGGGCCGTATCGGCGTATGAACGGATAAAAATATGCACGATACGGTAGGAAATAATTAAGAAAACGTAGCAGATACGCACCACAGCAATTCCGTACTGTCTTAGAATCATTTACAGACGTATTTATCTTGAAAAAGTATTGTTTTATTGGTTATTGACCGTTTACACCAGAACGGCAATGCTGCCGTGCATATATGAAAGGAAGCACTCTTATTGTTTTCCAGTACTCATATATTGAAAAAATAAGGAGTACGTACTCCTGATGTTGAAAAATTATCTGGAACCCTGCTTTCGATATGGTATCAAGCAATGATTTACTTTATGAATCAAAATAAAATTTGTTTTGTCACTGTAACAATGATTTTCTTGTATTTTACCTAAGTCCTTCAACAAAGAATAGCTGACCAAATGCGGGTATTAATATTTTCCTGATGCTTATTGCCATGAGCTGGTGTTTTTGTATCAAAATACTGACACCGGAACATGCGTATGTCTTCACCCCCAAGGTTATGGTTAAGGTCCCTGACAGGGGCATATTTACCATTATAAAAAAAGCCCTGTCTTGCACATGATTGTTGCTAAAAAGGTTGGGCAAGTCCTCAATACTATCTAAATATAAAGCTTTGCAACCCATAGGGCTTACACGAAAAAACGTACTGCTCAAGAACTCTTGTGAAACTCAATGTTAACAATCAGCAACGGTTTCACCTTCTGCTCACTCTCTGCTCACTCTTTCACTTTCTCTCTGCTCTCGCTCTTTCACTCACTCTCTGCTCGCTCTTATACTTACTCTCTGCTCGCTCTTTCACTCACTCTGCTCGCTCTTATACTTACTCTCTGCTCGCTCATTCACTCACACTCGGCCATTTTCATACACACGAAAGCCACATGAAATTCGTTACCAAAATAAACGCAGTACAATTTTCTTTGGAAATAGAGTTGTTGAATCGTATAAATAATTGTGGATTTGAAAGAAGCACGTAAGAAATAAGCATTTACTACACTTATAAATATACTGTATATCAATGTTGAGTATTTCGTCGGATCGAAACAGATGAAAACTACCTCATAATGGATAACAGGTTGTCTTTACTGACAATATGTCATTCGATCTATCACTTGTTTGACCCGTCACAAATGCTTTAAGGCAATCCTTCATATTCACTTGACCATGTCATCTTCCTGTAATTCAAAATGCACTTATTGAAGTAGACGCGTAACAGAGAGCTACTGCTGACATGGACCAGCTGTCGATGTATGTATTTTAGGAAATGTATTTGTTTTTTCTGAAAACTAGTGTGCGCTGACGGAAGATTCGGGCCTGGCTGTAGTTCCAGGTGCTACTGTAGGAACACATCTGAGGTGTGTGACAAAACTACTGGACACTGTGAGGGTGGGTGCAAGGATGGATACACTGGGATGGGCTGTCGGGAAAGTAAGTTTATGATGCCCATACCTGTAACGGGTGTATTGTGTCAAACATATTACAAAGGGTGTGTGAGGGATGAAATTTATAAACTTGTAATGTGATACAGTATCCATGTTTTCATTTCATCAGGCTCGCAACAATATGGCCCAACCTATACACTATCGTTACAGATTGTCCCAAGGGACGCTATGGTTCTGGCTGCATGGAGACGTGTGGACATTGTGCTGGGGGAGACGGGAACTGCTATGAGATAGACGGGTACTGTACAGATGGCTGTCAGGACAACTGGAGTGGAACAGTGTGTAAAGGTTTGTATTAAGATCTATGTGTATCTTTCCTCCACGTTTCTTGAATGTGTTTGGCCAGGATACGTTTACCTCTTTGTGCACACCTGTTTAACAGTAATTCGTGAACACATGCCTTTGGTATTGTTGAACTCATAGACCAGCATTTAAGTCGTTATGAAACGGTGCTCATGCTAGTATCTGTAGCAAGTCATACGCCAAGTATCATGTTATATTACAGAGTGTATTGTTACGACATGATGGCTTACCAGTAAATCCGTTTGCACAGAAATAAATTGTTCATGCAGCAAATGACCTCATATAGTTACTTGATAATCTGCAAACCAGTGGATAACAAATAACAAGTTCGTATCAATACAAAGGATCAAAACTATGGTTGAAATAATCGACAGCAGTAGTAACAGTGGCAAGAACTAAAATATGTAAATTACCGAATTTTCTGAATATTGACGATGAAGAATACCTTCATGGTCAGGGAGATCTGCCTCCGTTCCTGAATCAGGAATAGCGTCGAAATTTGGCACGAATTCAGTGTTTACATGTAGACACCGAGATCTTAATTTTCAAATTGCTGTCTCGTTGCTCTTATAAGACTATAGCCAGTCTGCTAGAAATGATTCCATCCAGGTACGTTGTACCTCCGCACGACGACTCGTGTTAACTGCCAGGCAAATAACCCAAAAATGTTCGGTTAAAAAAACATCTGGTTAAGGCTTCACTGGCACATTCAACAGGGGTACTAATGGGCCAGAGAGCACTTGGTATTTCTTCACCAGCTACCACATACACACCTGGTCTCCACCCCCAATAAAATAATTGACCGTGTCTCCCTTTTGATCTGTCAACATTCTATACATACAATTTATGAGTATGACATAGATGATTCCTCGTGTAGACATCCAATCATGGGAGGTATACCAAACAATGTTGCACAAAACTATCCGGCCTGCTTTGATTTCTGTATCAGCACTTTGGGTGAGTGAGTTATATTTTACGCCGCACTCAGCAATAGTCCAGCTGTATGGCAGCGATCTGTAAAGAATCGAGTCTGGACCAGGCAATCCAGTGATCAACAGCATAAGTATCGATCTACGCAACTGGGATTCGATGACAGATGTCAACCAAGTCCAGTGAGCCTAACCACCCGTTATCGTTAGTCGCCTCTTACGACAAACATGGGTTACTGAAGACCAATTCTTACCCGGATCTCCACGGGTAATCAGCACTTTGGTTTCCAAAGAACAGAGAAGAGCCCATGATATGTGAAGTAGATAGCTGCATGGGGGAATGGCTTAGTAATTGTTGTCAAGTGCACACGAACCTGTAACTCTTTCGTAATGTTTTTTTTCTTGTTGAAAAAAGCGTGGAACATAACCTTCATGAGTCTAAAAGGTAGAATTTTTACTCTTGTGTGTTATTGTCTACAATGGTTGGATTCCGCCAGTAAAACCTGTTCCATGATTTTCAATTCACGGCACCACTTATATCTGGGATAGAGAGAAATGATCCGGACAGCTTTCATTTCTGTATCAGCACTTTGGTTTCCAAAGAACAGTATGTGTGAATTAGATAGTAGCATTGGGAAATAGTTGAATAGTTGTTGTCAAATACACACGAACCTGTAACTCTTTGTAATGTCTTTGGTTGAAAGTACTTGGAACACAGTCTTCATGAGGCCACTCTCGCGTGGATTGTTGTCTGTTGTGTGTTATTCCAGAGTGCAGTGACTACTGGTTCGGTGACCAGTGTGACAGGGAGTGTAGATGTAAGGACGCTTATGAAGTGTGTGACAAGAGGACTGGCCAGTGTCACTCTGGATGTGAAGACGGATGGACAGGACTGGACTGTCAGACACGTGAGTAGTGTGGTCATTGTGATCACCGTCAGCTGTCAGACCTGTTTATTATACATTTATTATGTTGTGTAGGTTACAAACTAGAGAGTTGCTGGCTAAAACCAAGGGGTGGGGAGAGGAATTCACTATTAAAGCATAAACAAGATGTTAATGGACCGATGTGAGTTTACAATACAAAGCGCCACTGAATGCCTGACGGTTACGTTATATCTACGGTGTGGCGTCATATTATACGTATTGGTTTACTGTGTATCCAGGAAATAGCTGCTTAACAAATAGCTGTGTTACACACAGTCAATGCCTTTCATATACGTAACTTAAGTATTTTGGTGTAAAAATACAACTGCTGAGTATCAACATCATTCTAGTGTTTAATGATTGATAATATAAAACGTCAAACCTACATATAACATAGATTTACACTGAAAACGTAGCTTTGTTCTATATTCCTAAGAATGACGTTATGTCTGTTGGAATACACTGAGGGGTGTGACGTCACAATATTACTGTTTATTACCCTGAAGATAAATTTGTCGAATTCTGATTAGTCAATAGCAAAAGCATACCAAATCACGAACCGTATACACTGTCAAATCTGTCATGTGACACACTACACAGGGGTTTACGAATGACCTTGACTTTAGATGGAATGTGGCTGCCATACGGCTGATCGCTTTGAAATTTGAGAGTTGGCGTATAAAATAATGAGTATAAACAGAGCAATAAAATTGTTGTCATAATTTTTATTTGTTGTGTCAATAAATATATCCAAAAAATAAAATGTTTTTGTATTTCACTTGTCGTTTTACAAAACCTCAAATTCAATATTTTTATCATAAACTAAGCCATCCCGAGTTATCTCCTTTATGACCGTTCAGGAAAATCCATGGCGAAAGGTCTTGCGTCTCATTCTGCCGATGATTGAATGTTGTTGTTTACAGACAACCTAATAAGAATATCTTAAGGGTAATAATTTCATTACACGGTCTTTTGAAAGGGTGTACTGGACTGTAAGACCCGGACTGTAAGACCCGTACACCCTTCAAAACACCGTGTAACTAATATTGTTTTATTTTATTTAGGAAGATGGGTATATACACTGAACTTTAAATACTAATGTATATATATATGTGTGTGTGTGTGTGTGTGACATGATACAATACATCGATTTACAAATTATACTGATGCGTCGATGAACAGCCTGTCCCCTTAACTTTATGCCGGGTTCATCTAGCGTTGACATCTCATCTAAAAAGGTTGAGAACTGATTATGATCACTTCAGACAATGGGTACATACAAACTGCAATTCATAGGCGTCTTCACAGATTATATTTGGTCAGTTAAAAGTACCAAGTATAACCGTATTGGTGAAATACCTAGAATATTTTGAGCTCTATTATTATACTAAATGCATCTTCCTCCACGAACATTCTGATGTAATTTGACAGCGTGCCAGGACGGACCTACGGCTTCAACTGTAGAGGCAGATGTGGGAGGTGTCAGGGTGGACAGCCATGTGACAAAATAGGAGGAGATTGTCAAACATGTGCCCCGGATTCAAGCCTCCGTTTTGTCAAGGTAAGGAAGAACGAATAACGTTCAGCAACATTGCAGGATAGTATTGACAATATCCGTGTAATAATCAATTCATGGAATCAGTATGTGAAGGTTTGCCTACTTTCGTCTAGGAGTACCATGTTCATAATGTAAAGTAACTGTCTGTCATGCAGTGTGTGATGACTACTTCTATGGGGAGCAATGCAGCTCTAGATGTGGCCATTGTCGTGACAACGCCGTCTGCAATAACGTGTCAGGAGATTGCCCGGATGGATGTCAACCAGGATGGCAAAGGATGACGTGTCACCAAGGTAACCAGATCGTTTGTCGTTCACTTTCACTTAAAGGAAAGCTATCTTCTTCAAATAATTCGTGTTATAATATTTTGGAATGTTTTATAATTATGTTTGCACCCTGATGCACCTCCAACCCACTATAACAATTGTAAAGTTCTTTTTAATTACATCTGTTATGGAAACGAGGTGCTTCGTGACAAGTTGAGTATGTCAGGTAGGGAGGTATAACAGCCTTTACTGCCTGACTGTGTTTGCAGAAGGCATTTCATACAGGCAGTCTACTGCATGGTGAGATTAGCTCAGTTGGATAATGTTGGAGGATTACTGTTTAGATTTTAGAGACTGTGGACAACTAAACTCTTGTTGACAGAATGTGACGAAGGCAGATATGGTGACGGGTGTTCAGAAGCTTGTGGTCAGTGTGCAGGGAAGTGCAGCCCTGTAAATGGATCATGTGATCAAGAAGGATGTCGTGATGGATGGAAGGGGCAGAGATGTGACGACGGTAAGTCACCTGTGTTCAGGGAGGGTGAACAAATTGGAGTGTGGCGAAGGTAAGTGTTGTCAGGGAGAGTGAACAAGGTGGAGATGTGACGTAGGTAAGTGTTGTCAAGGAGAGTGAACAAGGTGGAGATGTGACGTAGGTTAGTGTTGTCAAGGAGGGTGAACAAGGTGGAGATGTGACGTAGGTAAGTGTTGTCAAGGAGAGTGAACAAGGTGGAGATGTGGCGAAGGTAAGTGTTGTCAAGGAGGGTGAACAAGGTGGAGATGTGACGTAGGTTAGTGTTGTCAAGGAGGGTGAACAAGGTGGAGTGTGGCGAAGGTAAGTGTTGTCAAGGAGGGTGAACAAGGTGGAGATGTGGCGAAGGTAAGTGTTGTCAAGGAGAGTGAACAAGGTGGAGATGTGGCGAAGGTAAGTGTTGTCAAGGAGAGTGAACAAGGTGGAGATGTGGCGAAGGTAAGTGTTGTCAAGGAGGGTGAACAAGGTGGAGATGTGACGTAGGTTAGTGTTGTCAAGGAGAGTGAACAAGGTGGAGATGTGACGTAGGTAAGTGTTGTCAAGGAGAGTGAACAAGGTGGAGATGTGACGTAGGTTAGTGTTGTCAAGGAGGGTGAACAAGGTGGAGATGTGACGTAGGTTAGTGTTGTCAAGGAGGGTGAACAAGGTGGAGATGTGGCGTAGGTAAGTGTTGTCAAGGAGGGTGAACAAGGTGGAGATGTGGCGAAGGTAAGTGTTGTCAGGGAGAGTGAACAAGGTGGAGCTGTGGCGAAGGTAAGTGTTGTGGAGGGAGGGTGAACAAGGTCGAGTATGGCGAAGGTAAGTGTTGTCATCGAGGGTGAACAAGGTGGAGTGTGACGTAGGTTAGTGTTGTCAAGGAGAGTGAACAAGGTGGAGATATGACGTAGGTAAGTGTTGTCAGGGAGGGTGAACAAGGAGGAGATGTGACATAGGTAAGTGTTGTCAGGGAGGGTGAACAAGGTCACTCTTTCACTCACTCTCTGCTCACTCTTTCACTCACTCTGCTCACTCTTTCGCTCACTCTCTTCACTCTTTCACTCACTCTCTGCTCACTCTTTCACTCACTCTCTGCTCACTCTTTCACTCACTCTCTGCTCACTCTTTCACTCACTCTCTGCTCACTCATTCACTCACTTTCGGCCATTTTCATACACATGAAAGCCACATGAAATTCGTTACCAAAATAAACGCAGTACAATTTTCTTTGGAATAGAGTTGTTGAATCGTATAAATAATTGTGATTTGAAAGAAGCTCGTAAGAAATACTACACTTATAAATATCAATGTTTACTTCAGAAAGTATTTCGTCGGATCGAAACACATGAAAACTACATGCGGACCTCATAATGGATAACAGGTTGTCTTTACTGACAATATGTCATTTGATCTATCACTTGTCTGGCCCGTCACAAATGCCTTAAGGCAATCCTTCATATTCACTTGGCCAAGTCAACTTCCTGTAATTCAAAATGCACTTATTGAAGTAGACAGGTGACAGAGAGGTAATGCTGGCATGGACCTGCTGTCGGTGTATGTATTTTAGGAAATGTATTTGTTTTTTCTGAAAACTAGTGTGCGCTGACGGAAGATTCGGGCCTGGCTGTAGTTCCAGGTGCTACTGTAGGAACACATCTGAGGTGTGTGACAAAACTACTGGACACTGTGAGGGTGGGTGCAAGGATGGATACACTGGGATGGGCTGTCGGGAAAGTAAGTTTATGAAGCCCATAACACCAACCTGTGACGGGTGTATTGTGTCAAACATATTACATACGATGTGTGAGGGATGAAATTTATTAACTTGTAATGTGATAAAGTATCCATGTTTTCATTTCATCGTGCTCACAACAATATGGCCCAACCTATACAATATCGTTACAGATTGTCCCAAGGGGACGCTATGGTTCTGGCTGCATGGAGACGTGTGGACATTGTGCTGGGGAGACAGGAACTGCGATGGAATAGACGGAACTGTACACGTGGCTGT